CTCATCGAGGCATTTCGCAAACTGTCTTGAAAGTTTGAAGTAGAGGCCGACTCTGACAATCGGTCACTCTTCTTCTACTCTAGCAGTAGCCGAGCATCTGTGAATGTTTGCTTCGACCCGTCCGCCTGAATATGACGAACAGGTTTCCTATTTCCTGTAGGATAACGGAATTTTGTGAAATCAAGGGCAGGTGGCTCCCGCTTCCTAGATTTAGGATGAGGAGTCGCCTCTCGCCCTTGAACTGGCTTCCTCTTCAGTGAATTGGAGGGTTTCTTGGCCGACTGCTCCTTGACTGAAGCAGGCGGCTTCTTGTTGATCAACTCTTGGATCTCTCCCTTGAAGTCCCTCATGAAGGTCATGAGTTCGTTCCTTGTGATGAGAGCAGACCCATCAGTCGGCTGTTGCCGAACAGGCGGTGCGCCTGCTGGCTCGCTTCCTGTTTGAAGATGCTCCCGTTCCCTCCTTTCGGTATGACGGGTACGTCGGGCCCTTAGGGTCCCGTCTGAAGCTGTATGAGCTTCAACTTCAAATTCACTTTCGGTATCATGGTCCGACTGAACTTGAGGGTCGTCTAGGGGACGCCTCTCTTCAGGAGTCGGTACAGACTTGGATGCCATCTCAGAAGTACTCTCCCCACAGACGGCGCCAAATGTTTCGGGGTTTTCTGATGTCCTGCGGGAGAGTTACAATTCCGAGACTGGAACCGGACGCCTGTACCTGCAAAATAACGGAGACTCCTGTGAGCTCCGCCTCCAACGATCAAGTTAGTACCTGATTAAGGAGTAATTAATGCGGAAATTAAAGTGATTAGGTCTCTCTAGGTGAGAGTGATTAATGTAGGTAATCTGCTTTGTTAGCGAGATCAGCCGGTTATTACTGTGTGTAATTAATGTGTTTTTCCGTAATGTTTCCGTTCTCTTTCTGTCATCCCCCTTAATGAGGATTAAGGGAGGTATTTATAACCTTGGGAAACGTGCCCATCCTAGGTTTAGGTAAACCTAGGGCCGATTGGGCTTCCCTCGGAAATTGGGCCTGGGTGGCCGGTTTCTCCATTAGGCATGGAGTATGCCACATGTCGTGACATAACAGGTCCAAGGTGGACGAATAAGCGCGTGCCACGTGGGAAGCCCTGGCTGTTCCAACTGGGGGACACTTGGCAGGACCTGATTGGTCCACGTGGTGCATTCCGATTGGTGGGAGTAAAATCCCCTAATCACCGTTAAGTATTTTTGTAACTTTTATTTAAAGTAAATAGAATAGTTATTTAAATAGTGTTAGTCCAAAGAAGCTCATGAAGTGAAGGCCCAAAGGAGCAAGGTGGATGGAGATCCATGATGATTCAAGTGGGAGCTTTTTCATTTCTAGTTTTCTTAGGACTAAGGGGCCATACTATGTCATGATTTATTGCATTAGTAGATTATGCATGTTAGATTTTATTTATGTTGATTGATGATGCGCTAGAGTTCACACTAAATAATCACAACATAATAAATCTAGGTCCTAGTAATATTGAGGTAGCTTTTCCAATTAAAAACCGATGAAACCTTTGATATTTTATGATGGGTCATGCCTCAGCTGGGTGTCATATTATATCTTAGGGGAATGGGGGTAAATCACGTTTTACACTTTTAATTGGATATACTCAACAAGGTTACCTAAAGAGTTTAGAACCTTGAAGCTAAGGGTAATAATTAAGCATGTGATGATTAATTATTCAACCAAGAGTTACAAGAGTTGTAATCAGTAAAGTGTTTACTCACCTTGAAAATGTAATGGTTGATGGTAGGGCCTCAGTCCGGTCAATTATTGCACAAATAAAGGATCTTGGAATCACTTAAAATTCAATTGGGATCAATTAATTATTGAATAAAGTGTTTTAAAGTTACCAAATGAATGCGTTTATGGTACTTTAATTTTAAATTAAACATAATTATTAAACTTTGCCTTATTTTGACATAGATGGGTAGCCGTAACCACAATGACAACAACATTTACAACCTTCGACCATTCCTTGAGAAGGATAGGTTGACAGGGAAGAACTTTTCCACTTGGGAAAGAATGCTAAGACTTGTTCTGAAATTTGAGGGTAAAGAGGATATCATTGATACCCCATTACCAGGACCTCTGCTATAAAATCCAACTGTGGCAGTGATCAAGAAGCACAAGGAAGCTCATGACAAAGCTATACCTATCACTTGCTTAATGATTGCTACCATGGAGCCTAGTCTTCAAAAGCGTTTTGAGGACCAGGATGCCTACTCAATCATGCAAGAACTCAAAGCTTTGTTTAAGAAACAAGCTAGAGTTGAAAGGTATGAGCTCCATCGTGAGATTCTGGATTGTAGGATGGAGAAGGGAGCCACAGTTCATGATCATGTTTTCAAAATGATCGTCCTAATTCAAAGTATGGAGAAACTGGGGCACCCATATAGTGATGATTTGGCAACAAACATCATTCTCCATTTACTACCAGAAAGTTTCAACCAGTTTATCATGAATTTTAACATGACTGCCACTGCAAAGAATATGAATCAATTGCATGCAATGCTGGTTAGTGCTGAGAAACAAATCCCTAAGGAACCTAAGAAGGAAGTTCTTATGATTTAAAAGGGAAAGGGGTTCAAGAAGAAGGGGCAAAAGGCTAGTGCCAAGAGCAAGGGCAAGCAAGTTGCCAAGGCTCATGAGAAGCCTAAGGCGACTCCAAAGCCCAAGGCTGCAAGTGAAAGTGAATGCTTTTACTGCAAGAAGAAGGGGCATTGGAAGCGAAATTGCCAGAAATACCATAACTTCCTCAAGAAGAATGAAGCATCAACCTCAGGAATTGCAAATAAGTGAAGCTAGCATGGAAATGGAGCTTGAAGGTTCACTAGAAGCATTTGAGTGGCCAGAGATAGCTTCATAGTTTTAAATTTTGATTAGTTATCATGATTTTAGAACAATTTCCAGTTTTGATGAGACAATATTCCGGTTTTCTTATTTTGAATACTGAATTTGGTTTACTTGGCTTGGACAAGTGTTGATCCATGACCAAGGTAATAAATTGTTTTCATTTTGCTAGATATGAGTTAATTTTGTTTTATGACATTGATATAAGTATATCACAAAAATAAGATTTAGATGATTTAAAATACACTTACTTATAACAAGTAAGGTTAGGCCACATTAACCATTTTCACATCCAAAGTTTTGGATGGACTCTCATTCTTATATGATTATGAATCACTTGAGAATTAGAAATCATGCTTGATAAGTTAAGATGACCAAGTTGCCTTTTAGTAGAAAGGGTAAAAGAAGCTAAAATGACCTTTTGGTACTCATACATATGATGTATGTGAATCAATAAGTTCAAAACTAGCAAAGGGATTTAACTATTTCATTGCTTTTACTAACGATTTAAGTAAATATATCGATAATTACTTAATGAAGTAAAGCTTGGAAACATTGAAAAGTTCAAAATTCCAAAAATGAAATATAAAATCAGTTTGAGATATACAATTTAACACCACAATATGATTGTTGTGATAAATATCTAACTCAAGAAGAATGATCATCTAAAGGGAATTGTTGAATTAATTCACAATTCAGAAACATTACAATTAAATTGTATGTTTATGAAGAAGGAATCAAACTTTGCTTGCCATTGTTAGATCCAAAATTTAATGATTTACAAATATCGTTTTGAGGATATGCATTAGAACAACAACAATTGCGAATATACTAAACAGGAAACTTAACCAAAGCAGAAGAAAAGATGTCATAAGAGTTATGATTTGGAAATGTTCCAAAAGCTATCTTTTCTAAACAGGATTAAGGGTTATGAAATCAATGTAAAATGTTTACAAAGATGTCATAATACACCCTAAATCAGAAAAGTAGTTCTTCATGGGTTTTCTCATGGAAACTAAGAGGTATTATTCCTACAATCGCGTAGAAACAAAGTGTTTGTTGCTCGGGATAGTGTCTTTATAGAAAGAATATCTTCCTACAAAGCCAAGTGGGAGTAAAGTTGATGAGATTCGAGACGAGCAACAAATGGATGTGGATAACACTACATCAGAGACGAAGGCATATGAAATCAGCAAATTTGATAAACCATGTGTCGAAGCAAGCTAATTCCACTAGCGAGGCTTCTATCGTCCCACTAGAATGAAAGGCTTCAAAGAGTTGAAGAGAATAATTCTATTGTCGCTCATACCTATCGTAGGTTACTTGGGATAAAAACAAACAGTTTGTTGAAATTCTGAGAAAAGGTAGATTCTAAAATTTTCTTATTAGAACGGTTAGAATTCAGGGCCTACAAGCAAGCTTTGGATAAATGCCAACTCAGGAAATGGCTTAAAGCCATGAAATCCAGTATGGACTCCATGTTTGTAAAAATGTGTTAGTCCATAATAGTCTTACAAATAGGTTCAAACCTATTAGTTGGGTAAGCCTATTCAGACTATTCTAGTTATGGATATCAAAATCACCTCATGAAATGTTCTTGATGGTGAACATGTATATGATACATCCTAAGAGTTTGGAATCCAGAAATTCCTAGAAAGTTTTGCAAACTTCAAAAATTCATTTATGAATTGAAGTAAGCATTAAGGAGTTGGAACATTCGTTTTGATTAGGCAATCAAACAGTTTGATTTCCTTAGTAAAATGAAAAGGGAATCTTGTATAGACAAGAAGTTTAGTGGGAGCAATTGATTCTTTTATTCTACACTAGGTGAAAAAAGGCATTTGGCAGCGGTTCAAACCCGGTCTAAGGCACCGGTTTGAACCGCTGCCTATGTGAGGGGTGCCAAAAACCAAGTTTTTGGCACCGGTATAGGGTGGAATAGGCACCGGTTAACCGGTGCCAAAAAGGCCCACTAAATTTTTTTTAAAAGTTTTTGGCTTCGGTTAACCAGTGCCAAAAAACCCCCAAAAATCATTTTTTTTTTTGTTTTTTTTGCTTAAAAATTAAATAAACTAAATTAAATAAAAACACAAAATATAAATCAAACATCACAATCAATATAAACGATTCTGTTTAATATATAATCAATAAAATTTTACAACCTAGATCAATAAAAAAAATTACTTATAAATCAAAAAAAATTACAACATATAAATAAAAAAAAAAACTGCAATATAAATAAAAAAAAAAATTATTACAACATCACAATCTAAAAATCCCCATATTCTTTATTCTTGATTCTTGATTCTTGGATTATGTATACCTGCGCCAATTAAAACATCAAAAATAAATTGATTAAAATGAACAAGCTGCAAAAAAAAAAATAAAAAAAAACCCAGAAAAAAAAATCGAATTAAAATCGATTAAATTAAAAACAAAATCGAAAAAAACCCAAAAATAAAAAAATCAAAACAAAATCGAAAAAATAAAAACAAAATCCCAGAAAAAAATGAAAAAAACCCAGAAATCATAAAATTAAAAACAAAATCGAACAATTAAAAAACCCAGAAATCAATTAAAATAAAAACAAAAACAAAAAAAATTGAAATCGAAGATTACCCAAAAAATCGAGAAAATCCAGAAAATTGAAAAAAAAAAATTAAAACCCAGAAAATCGAGAAAATCCATAAAATGAAGAAAAAATTAAATTAAAACCCAGAAAATCGAAGAAAATTACAACCCAGAAAATTAAAAAAAAATCAAAAAAAATTAAAATCGAAAATTACCCAGAAAAAAAAATAAACGAAAAAATACCCAGAAAAAATTGAAATCGAAAACCAAATAATAAACCCAAAAATTGAAAAAAAATTCAAACCCAGAAAAACTTGAAATCGAAAAATCACAGGAAAAAAAAAATTGAAGTCGAAAAAAAAAATCAAAATCTAAAAATAAAACCCAGAAAACAACCCCAAAACGCATGCATGAAAATTAACCCAGAACTCGATTAATTAGCCCAAAAAACGATTATTTTAATCGAAAATTAACCCAAGAAAAATTGAAATAAAATCTGAAAAAAGATTTAAATCGATTAATGAAACCCAGATCAATAGAATTAAAATCCAAAAATCGATTTAAATCGATTAATTAAACCCATAAAAATCCAATTAAACCCAAAACTCAAATAGCTAAACCCAGAAATCTCAAAATAAAGAAAAAAAAACCCCCAAAAACCACTTGCATGTACCTAGAATCGGTGTTCTTGGTGGTCTTGGGTGTTGGTCTTGGTGGTGGCCTTTGGTGGTGGAAACGAGTGAGAAGGAGATAAGAGAAGGAGATGAGAGAAGGAGATGAAATCTCGAATAGAGAAGAAAGATAGAAGGAGGAGAGAGAAGGAGAGAGAAAGAGAAGGAGGAGCGGCTGAGGGAGTGAGGGAGAGTTAGGGTTATATATGGGGCGGTTTTTTTTTTTAATTATGTAGGTGAACCGGTTTAGTAGCACCAGTTCAAACCGGTGCCCTTTGTATTTTTGGCACCGGTTTGTGTTGAACCGGTGCCATTTCTCTTGGTCTGAAATTCCGCCCATTTTTAGGCAGGTATTTGGCACCGGTTTGGCCTGAACCGGTGCCTTTTGGGGGTTGCCTTTTTGTATTTTCTACTAGTGCTAGTATGTAGTTGACATACAATTCATATGAAATGATATATCAATGCTTGAATAAGTCAAGCAGTGGTTAAAAAGATTGTTTCGATATGATAGACTTAGGAGATGTTGAATACATATTGGGAATTAAGATCCATGAAGTGAATCTTGAAGAATGATTGGAATGAATCGAGAGACTTATGTTGATAAGGATCTTGAAAAGTTCATGAAGCAAGACTCTAAGATAGGATATTTTCCCATGTTTCATGGTAATACACTCAGTAAGACTCAGTGCCTTCAAAAGCTAGTAGAGTTGAGTTGTATGGATAGTGTACCTTATGCTTTTGCAAAAGGTTCATTATATGTGCCATGAAATGTACAAAGCAAGATGTTGCATATGACTTGTACATAAGTAGCAGGTTTCAAACAAATTCAGAATAAGCATACAGAGAATTACCAGGAACAAATCCTTGAGTACTTGAGAAGCACTAAAAAGGATTTTTCTAGCCATTGTAATTTAAGCAAGTTGTCAAAAGGTTACACGAATGCAAGTTTCCAAACAGGCAAGATGATTCTAGATGGTGATCTAAATGCATGTTTGTGTCTAGATGGAAAAAGACAGTGAGCTTGAAGAGTTCAAAGCAGAGCACTGTTGCATACTCAATGTCAGAATATGTGTATTAAACTATAGTCAGATAGTTATAGAGGAAGTTCGGATTAAAATGTCATGTGACTAACAGGTCACCTTTGCCCAAGAACAAAGGAGCCAGAGTCACATCACAAATCCAAACAAAAGGATATGAGATATCACCTCAATTATAAGATCATTGACCAGAGGAAGGTCATGTTTTGCAAAGTTTTATTATGAGTAAGAAATCACTAAACCCCTTCCATGGACTAAGGTATGAGAGTCATAATAAAGTCCTAGGATTGAAGCAAGTTGTGTAATTTAAGTTGTATATGTTTTGAGAAAACATATTACATGAGAAATGCATCAATTTGCAGAATTATGTTTAAAATAGAAATTATTATTTCTCTTATTTTAATTATGGTTTTGAAAATTAAATAAAATGTCCAAAATAATTATGAATTGAAGGGCTCATCAGGTTGATGACCTGGTGAATTGAAACCCCACAGGTGAACAAAATTCATATATTATTTAAAGTTCCTAGTTTGAGATCATTAAAGTGGACATAAATGATTTCATTAAATGAACTAGCATGTAATATTGATTGGATAGCGCAGTTTCATGGGCTATAGGGGCATAGTGATGCTCGGTCAATCACTTGGATATGCATGAATGATGCATGATCGAACTATTGACCTACTTTGAAGTTCAAGTATAGAGCTTCCGTATATATTAGTGGATTCCTTTGACATGAGTGGAACATTGATTTCATTCAATGAATGTTGTGACTGTGGTACACTCAAACGTCTAGCCGTAACTGGAGATTATAAAGGGTGTTTCCCGGTTATTTTAGAAGTTGAGTGGGAGTCATGTTACCACAAGATTGGATAGAGTCTACCTATTAAATTAGGAAATGTGTCATGGTCGCTTGAAGAGGGAGAATTCAGAAAATACGTGGCCGCGTTCAAATGCATTACACAGTAATCATTTGGTTTTGTAATTCTAACTCAGATTTCAAGAAACGATTTGTAGATTAATATGATCTCGACATGTGATGCACTCATATTATAAAATCGACACATATATTGACTTAAGGAATTTGAATATTGCACCCTTGTCTCAGACAAGTGGGAGATTGAAGGAGTTATGTCTTCGTCGTGTGCAATTACTAGGTATATAAATGGATCAAATTATGGAGATAATTAAGTTCGTACATTTGGGTCGTCGTTTTGCCATAGCTAGAGGTACTAACGATCTTTGGACTAGTAAAATAGGCCAAAGCCCAATTGGACGGATCCTATAAGGTCACACAAAGGGGCTAGATCGAGCATTAGAGGACGAGGCCCATTATGGGCCTCATCACTCTAGGTGGCGGGCCATGTAGTGGATTAGAAGGAGTTTTGGGCTTCGTGCCCTAGTCTAATTATAATGGAGATTATAAATAGACTAGGTGCCTAGGTTTGCAGCAGTGGAAGCAATTAACTGACAGTGTGTTCAAACCCTAATTAGCAAACACGAAACCCAACCCTCTCAAAGTCCTTTCTCTCTCAGGCTCTCTCCTCCTCCTAGGCGCCGGTGGTGTGTCGCGGTGGTGGTGGTTCGTGCGGTGGTCGGTTGTCCGTAAAGGTGGTGATCGCGGTTCTCCTCAATCACTCGACCAATCTAGTATTGGTGGACGACTCGTTCGAATCTCGTGGACTAAGTAGAGGAGCAACGCTTGGGGCTCTATTCTCTCCCTGATTTGCCTGTCGAATAGCTTCGTGGAATTCACACGTCAAAGGTATGATTATGTGTCTTGTGTGTTATGCATGTGATTCTTGGGATTGGTACTAGATTGAATATGATTCATGTTTTTCCGCTGCGTAGTACCTATAAACTCCTACACTCCTATTATAAATTTATAATACACTAATTAGTGCCCTAGTTTGTTTAGGAAAAAATTAGGAGTTGTTCTCTGTCTGTTATGCACAAATTCTGACTTCTTTCTTATTGCATATACATTACATATTTACATTTATTTATTTATTTATTTTTGGTGAAGGTCTACATAACATTGTTAAAATTATTAGATAGATTATGAGGTGTCATGCAAGATTCAGTACTATATACTTCGTACTTTCTTTGTTTTTTATTAGTTGATACGTTTGATTTTAGTACACATATTAAGGTGTGAAAAAGGAAAGAAGGACAAGTATACTCATACCAGCTCAAAATTGGGTGTAGGTATTTAGTGCTGAGCAAAACTACCCGAAAAACCGAAAACTCGAAAAACCGATCCGTAACCGTTCCGAAAATTAGGGTACCTAATCCGATAACCCAAACGGTTCGGGTACCCGTTCCGATAATTTGTTATCGGGTATGTTATGTGTATTATTTTAAAATTAACGGTTACCCGACTCGATCCGATAAACATTTTTTTTGCTATTTTTCCCTACTTAAATCGATTAATATAAATCTAAACTTTTACTTTACTTCATAATCATTTTATAATATCAATGATTAGTAATATTATTAATAATTTGGTCAAGATTATATGCTATTGTTTTTAATTAGTTGTAAATTATATCATAATAACTACATAGTTAAGTTTAATTATCATTATTAGATATCTTATTGGGTATCCGATAACCGATCCGAAAATCCGGGTACCCGAACTTATCGGTTCCAGTTATGGGTATCACTTTTAGTGATTTGATTATCGGGTACCCGAACTGTTAGTACTAACGGTAGAGGTACCCGTCCCATGCTCACGATCATATATATATAAAAAGTGACATTATGTTACTTATGTATCATATATATTAATCTATAATATAATAAAAACCTTGATATTTAGAACTTATTAAAATTCCTCAAAGCTTTATAACTTCACCTGCATTCTCGATTAGATCCCAATTTTACATTTTTTTTTCTTCTGAAATTGCAATTTAACATTTTATTCGTTGACGATCATCATAAATTCGATGGAACCATTATAGATTCCATAAACACTCAACAAAAAAGCTAAAATTTGTGGAGTTACCAAATTCGTGGACGATCTACAGTGAAGCACAGCGGAGCAAGCAAGAGAACGGAGGAGAGAGACTACTAATTTGGGAGAAATTTTGGGATTTTTGTAGGGTTTATAATTTGGGGATTTTTTTAGGGTTTATTACTTTTTTTTTTTTTTTTTTTTAACAATGGTAAAAAAAAAGAAAACATTAGGAAACCCTCCTCACGACAGGAATTCCTAATGCGTTTTTAGGGTTCATACTTGAGTTAATTGAAAATGATATATATTACAGTGTATAAAATACAGAGAGTTAGAAAAATAGAGTTAGGAGAGAGAATTAGAAAATTAGAATAAAAAGTTAGAATAGAGGATAAAAAGCCCTCAAAGTGTAACCCTTTTCCAGCCCTTAAAACCAAGTCCAACCCTTTAAAAGCCCATAATTTCATAACCCTTAGAAAGCCCGCCCATATTACATATTGGTCCGGCCCGGCCCTGTTTAATTTAGGGCTGGATCAGGCCTTTTAGTGGGGCCCGCCATTTGTGCAGGTCTAAACACAAATACCTGAATTATTTTTGCGTCTTTGCTTTCTCAGTCTCTGCACTTTCGGAGTTGCCGCCATTCTCAATTTCTTCTTCTTCTATCATGGATCAGAAGCTTGCTACTGCTTCTAAAGATGTTAGTTTTGTTTTCTCTCTCCTCTTCTCTTGAATTCATTTTGACTTCTTAATTATAATCTTGTTTTGGGTTTTGTTTTAGGGATTATTCGGGTTGTTACAAATGTAATGCTTATATATGTGAAGTCAATTTATGTTGAATTTTTCATCAATTTTTGATTGAATAAATCCAGTTTTGTGTTTTCTTGAAATGGGGTTTTAGAATTTTTGCTGGAAGTACCAAACTAGCATTCACATAAGCTTTGTAGTTAATATACATTGTGCAATTAATCCCAATGTTTTAGGTTTATAATTTGTATCATTATATGATTGTGCTAACCATACTTAAGATAGTCAGGTTTATCATTTGTTTGATAATTGAAAAACAAAACGGGTATTCAAAATTTAGTGTTAATGTGTACTTTGAAATGGTTGTAAATACATATGTGCTACTCCGTATATTTTAAGATGTTAATACTAAATAATGTTTTGCTTTGATATCTGATTCATGTTTTGTTGACACTGATTTGTGTAGGCTCTTGTTCAAATTGTTAAGTTGTCACAAAAGAGGGGAATGGAGGGTGATAATGGAGGATGGAAAGATTTTTTGAAAGTCCATGATAAAAAATTTGGTGCAAGCATGAGTGATCCAGCTAGAAGGACACCAGAAGTTTTACGCGCTTTCTTAGATACATTTAAGAAAGAGGAAGACTTTAAAGTATTATATTTAATCCCTCTTTTGTTTGTGTCATTTTTGCTACATTATTCTGGCATTGTGTAATGTGGTACTCCTGTT